AACTTATATTCATGCCGTCTAATTCTGATTCCCTTTATTATATTAGTCCCACGTATTTTATTTAATAAAATTTCCAGCGTCAAAATAAACAATAACGGAGACAAGGGACAGCCTTGCCTTGTTCCTTTTTCTATATTAAAATTATCTGTTAAACCACCATTGATTATTATTTGCGCTGTTTGTTTTTGATATATTGCCTAAATAGATTGTATAAAATGTTCTCCAAATTGCATCCTTTCTATTAGCTTTCATGCCACATTTGTTAACTGAATCACTGCAATTGGTAAGTTAGTAACCTGGTTGTTAAGTGAATCTGGTTTCCCCATTGACTTTGGTTGTCAGAAGGTGGGAAAAGGCGATCACATGACCTTGGTACACAGCAAACATCATAAATGTGAGTCAGTTGTCAAGTATCTGAATATAGATCACATGACCCCAGGACTCTGCAACCGTCATAGATATGAATCAGTTGTCAAGCGTCCAAATTTTGATCCCATGGCCCTGTGAAAAACGGTCATGTCACTTTTTTCAGTGTAATTGTAACTTTGAATGGTCACTAAATGAACTGTTGTACATCAAGGACTACCTGTACATGGTGATATATTGCTACTACAATGACCGGAATTCCCTACTGGCCAGAAATTCTGGGGTATTGCAGCCCCCCATTCATCATCTTGAAGGTGTCAGTCTGAGGAAGGCTGGTGATCTGGAGGGCTTTAGCAGCATAACTGTGCACACGGGGATAACAACGGGGGAAGAAAAGTGATGTGGGTGTATGTTTAATGAAAAAGTTATTGAAGACACACGCTGACTTAAATCTAAACAATGTTCTACTTGGAAGGATAAGTCCTTAGAACAGAAAAGGAAAGTTGCAGAAGCGACAAAGATGTTTCCATTTCTTTCCTATCACTTTCATGTTCCTTTTATTTTGACAACATTTTTCTCAGCATCACTTCTAGGATGGAGCTGAAATGTCACTTTACCTCATTTCATATTTTGTTTTGCTTTGTTTTTGTTTTTATTGGATTTATATACTGCCCTACTCCTGAAGGACTCAGAGCGGTGAACAGCCACAGAATAAAACACATAAATACAAAAATTTAAAATAAAATAAAAACGAATTAAATAATTTGGCTGAGACAAATTTAAAATACCCAATAATTTAAAAACAAATTAAAATTTACATTTAGAAGGGGAAAAGATTTAGGCCAGGCCAGCTTGATGAAATAAGAAAATCTTGAGCACGCGACGGAAGGTGCGCAGATCCGGGATCCTCCGTATCTCCGGGGGAAGCTCGTTCCAGATCGTAGGTGCCCCCACAGAGAAGGCTCTCCCCCTAGGGGCCGCCAGTCGACATTTTCCTTTCTCCTTGTTGGTCCAAGCCTTCATTTGTTTTGCCTACACAATGCAATAAAACTTGGTGGAACGTGCCATCTAGGTGATATTGTGGATGCCACAATCCTGCTTCAGGAAGGATGATGTCATGGAAAGGCGTGAAGATGGTTACAGTCAAAACCATTCACTAAGAATTTAAGCAAAGAAGCCAAAGATTGTGGATGATGAAGAGGAACCAGCCACTTCAATCAAACAGCACAGAACAAACCAGCAATAAAACAACACAAATGTTCAGGAGGCGAATATAATTTTTTGGCAATCTATTCAGCTGCCTCCAACTTTTGAAACAAACATCATCTTTTTAGAACATTCTGTGCAGCCCTTCAAATGTCACTCCGGCATTCATTAGTGATATTCCTCCAAGTCTCTACAGTGGGTGAAGTTACCATATCTGACACAGCAAACAAAATATGTTGCATAGTTTTAACGCAAGCGCTCATAGATTCTGTTTTGCCCTTTTTAAAGAGCTGTCCATCAAAACAGTCCATCAAAGCAGAACGAAATGCTCTGGACTTCACCTAATATCAGGACAAAATATCTGACAGCCGCCAGGAAAAAGCTTCTACAACACCTGCTGTTGCAAATACATATATTTTATATATATTTTAAGACTTCGTTTCCAAGAAATAAATGTAATCAAGGTTTATATGCTCAGAGAAGCCAACAGGATGGGATTGTTGCACTTGAAGGATCAGAAGAAAATTGTAACTAATGTTGTGGAAAATTACTTCGATATTGCTTTCTCGGTACAGGATAACAATTAGGTTGCAGTGTGAAGCAATAAATGAACGGTAACAAATCAACAAAAACAGCCACTGTCAGGAGTACTTTGGTGACGGGAAGTAATGCAAGCATTACTTAAAAGTTTTATGATTCTCATTTAATTTGCATCACGGCTGCTCAGGCTATAAACAAACTACCATCTTTAAAGCAGGCAGTGAAAACTGAAGAACAAAATTATCTCGTCTTAACTTTGCTTCAGAAACTACTTAGGTAAGTGCCATCAAGTCAAGTCTGACTTTGACAACTGTATGGACAAATGATCCTTCATTCCCTTGATTTGTTCCCACAAATCATCCAGAGCTGTTCCAGGGAGATTCCAGTGAATTCCCGGATTCAGTCTATCCCATTTAATTTATTTCCTATCTAAATGTTTTTTCCTGTGAGACCCGTCTATCAGGGCAACCTGGCCTACCCAATTATGGGATGGAGCATACTGCTTCCGCTTTAGCCGTTCAGCCCCCAATCCAGGCGCCTTTGCAGGCAGTCACTTTAGCGACAGACTATTTTTTTGTGTTAAATTTACGTTTATTGACAAAGAAATAAAGGGAGACTAGTATAGATCTATTTCAAGCTTTTTTTTTTAAATTTGATTTATATGCCGCCCTTTTCCGGAGACTCTGGGCAGTTTACAGTGCGTTAAGCAATAGCCTTCATCCTTTTGTATATTTTATACAAAGTCAGCTTATTGCCCCCACAAACTGGGTCCTCAATTTACCTACCTTAGAAAGGATGGAAGGCTGAGTCAACCTTGAGCCTGGGGAGATTCGAGCTTACAGTAATTGCAGGCAGCTGATGTTAATAACAGTGCTTTAGTTTGCTGCACTACCAGGGCTCCTATTTAGCCCTCATCAGCTTGCCATACCCTTCTGGGATTCGAACTTGGGCTACTTGCATATTAAGTAGATGTATTAACTTCTAATCAACCTCTTTTTCCTTTCTGTTTTCCTCAACCATGTCAAGCAAGAGTTTTTTTCTAGCCCCCCCACAAAACACATGACCACTATCTCTAATTAACTGGACTGACTATATTAACAGTGATTATTTTCTCCTCAGAAAAGGTATCATTGTTTTCTCCTTGGGAGTATCATATGGTGGCACTTTTGTGGAAATGCACAAAAAATGCAGAGGTTATTCTAAGATATGCTGAGGTGGGATCTGACAGGAAGGACTTGGTTGCTACCAAGGATCAACTACAATCGCTTCATATTAATATTTTCCCTACCCTAGTAAATTTGATGGGGAAATCTTGTGTTTGGCTGGTTCAGATAGTACCACTTTGGTAAGGGGAAAGTTTTTATTGGATACCTACAAACACTATAAACCAGGGGTGTTGAACTCAAGGCCTGTAGGCCAGATCTGGACTGTGGGGTGCTTAGATCTTGCTGGCCATGGGGCTGGCCTGGAAACAGCAAAGGACCAGCCTGCGGTGCCTCTGCTGGCAAAAAGAGAACTCGGGTCTTTTGCAGCCCTCTGCCAGCAAAAACTGAGCTTTGTTTTTGCTGGCAGAGGGCTACCAAAACAAACTAAAAACAAAACAAAAGGAGAAATGTTTCCCCTTTTGCATTTGAGCATGCAAGAAGGGACATGAAAGGAGAAAGGGAAAGAGAAAAGATGAAGAAAAAGAAGGAAAGATGGAAAGAGAGCAAGGAAGGAAAAATAAGGAAAGAGGGACAGGAAGAAGAAAGGAGAATGAAGAGGGAAGGAAAAAGAAGAAAAGGAAGGAAGGAAGGAAGGAAGGAAGGAAGGAAGGAAGGAAGGAAGGATTATAATGAGGGAGGGAGGGTCTCAGGGAAGTCCTGCTTTAGCACTTGGCCACCACAGGTGCCCCTGACACAAGTGACATCGAGCTGGCCATGCCCACACCCGGTCACACACACCCGGTCCTCCAAGGTCAAGCACAACCCTGATGCGACCCTCAATGAAATAGAGTTTGACACCCATGCTATAAACCAATCAAAATTATTCCACTGTTATTCCACTATAAACCTAGACAAGAGCCAAAGCCTAGTCCTCATGAAACCCCAAAAGACCGTTTTTAACAACTTGAAAGAGCAGATGAATTCCCAAACAAAGCTTAGGAATCCTCTCCAGACCACTTAAACCAAATGTGGCAGATCCTCTCTATATACTTCAACCTTCCCCAACCACTGGATCTGCTGGGATTTCAACATGCGGCAATCCTAGTCATTGTGAGAATTCTGGAGCTACAGAGACAAACTCAAGAACACCAGATTAGTGAAAGTAGTATGTAGGTGCGTTTTGGTGATATACATGACTGAAAACATTCTTGACTTGGCACTAATTCCTAAGTGAAAGGCTACAGATACGTTTTCTCACTATTAATTAGAATACAATTTCCACGATAGTATTTTTCTGGCTTGTCTTTCTTTGGTATATGAGAAAATGCACTTTTTTTCCACATGAGATTTTGGGGTGATTCCATTTTGGTTGAGAAACTGCTGTCAGCCGGGTTTTCCCCTGAGTGTTAGATATATCAGTTCAGAACAGACAGCGCAGGAAAGTATTGCCTGTTGAACTGACAAGCCATACACGTTGACAATACTTTCCATCATTGAATCAAAGGTTGCAACTGTTTGCTTGGGAACAACAGTGCAATGTATAGTTTGCAGGAAATGAATAAACTTTACTGTTCAAGAACCTTCAAGAACAGTTTGCCACAACTTCTCTTCAACTGATAATTGAACCTTGCCACTTATCTGAATTACAGAAAATCTTTCAGGATATTCTTTCCCATAAGTGTTATTTAGTTTAAAAAAAAAATGCATTTGGTAAAAACAGTGTGAAGTAGAACCTGAAGGTACCTGAAGCTTGCTGGGGTACAACTTCTTCTGGATCCTGCAGATGGATGAAAATGAGAAGCCCAGCTGCTCCAAACAGAAGAATGAAGGAAAACATGCAGGTCAGCTTCATCATTAATGTCCTCTTATCAATCCAGTTTAAGCCCACCGAAAGAAGCAAAGGTCTTCTCTTTAATCCCCAAAGCTTGAGTTGAGGTCAGCATCTCAGTTGGCTTCCTGTTTCAAGGGCCACCTGGTAGAAAGAAAGCAGTAAGCGGCTACTAAATATTGTGCGTAGCTAATAAACTTCCTATATGTTGCCTCCTCTCTCCTCCCACCTCTCCCTGGGCCTACCGACCAAGAATATGAAACAGCAAAACACTCCATGTGGAGATTTGTTCCAGGGAATGGATGTCCATCTGTATTTTATCATGCTCGCTGCATCTGTTATTCAAAATATTTTAGGATGCTATTTTAACTTGTTAAATTATTGTTTAAGATGTTGTGCCTTGTAAACTGCTTTGGGGAGGCTGTGCCTCAAAAGACAACATGAATCCTGAAGTTAGGAGAGAGAGAAGAATCCACATTCTGCTAAGTGCAACGTATTTAAAAATAAATATTTTAGATTAGCATTTTTTTTTAAAAAAAGCAAAACTATCATGCAGTTCATTCTCAGTTGTTATTAAAAAAAAAAAAGGAATAAGCTGGGCCCAGGGTTGTTTTTTTTTTGTTTGTTTGTTTTTTGGAGAAAGAATGTATTTGGCTGTTAGTATATGGCACTCAAATTCTGTCCCAACTGAATCTGAAATAATTTGGGTCATCTCTTCCTCAAGACAAAAAAATTAAAATCTGAAATGAAGAAACCCCAAGGACTTGAAACCGTAAAATTGGTGCATGTTTTGTGTGTCCCAATAACGAAAGGCTCCCTCTGGGCTACATCAAGGCTGTTTAAAAAAAAAAGAAAAAAAGAAAAGCAAACAATCTTTCTGCCAATTTGCTGATATTTGCCCTGTTGCTGTGAGCCCCTATTACTTTTTTCCTTTGTTCTTTTTTAGTCCTTTGATATTAGCCCTCATCACATGAGGAAAAAAAAAACCAAAGCTTTTGATAACTTCATACCTATATACCGGAAATTGCACAGCATCTTTTAGGTCACTTGTGTCACAACATTAAACCTAGGGATCATGCTAAACCTTCTTCCCTGGCAGAGTTTTTTGTCCTCAATTGCACTATAGAAAGTTAGCACCCTCTAGGAGAGTGGTCTCCTAGAAGAATGAAATATTTTGAGAAATATTAAAAAGGCAGAATATTATATTTCCCTGGATGAGAAATGAAGAAACATGTTTTTTTAGAGGGAGAAAGCAGCCCCCAACTTTTCTTAGTAGCCCACAACAGATGCCAGCACTTAAGAGAGAAAGGGCTTATTGAAAGAAGCCAAGTATCTAGACAGCTCTATTCATAAGCAAATACCCTCACTCAAGCTCCAACACAGAAAAAAGCCACTAAGCCATAATAGGAATTGTCCAACACCCTTTAAGAACAAAAGCCCCTTTACTGCATCACCCCAAACTTCAACCAAACGTAGCTCAGACAAGCTCCTTGGGTTTGTACTTTGCCTAGAGAGCCAGCTATGACCCCTACATGGCCCCATAGGAGTCTGACAACAGCCAATAGAATACATGTTCTTGCACAGGAACAGGAAGTTCAAGTGCAAAGCCCAAGAGAAGGCATAACCCCCTCCCTCTCAACTCCATGTGGTCAGCTGCCCAGAACCCATGTGGTTCTGTTTCATCATTAAACCCTCTTTCCAATCAGCCTCCGTGTTTCCAGCGTCTTTCTCCCAGCTTGGAACTGAACCAGATGGATATTTCTTCCCACAGCACCTTCACACACACACACACACACACACACACACACACACACACACAAAAAGGGGGGGAGAACAATATGGCTGGCTTGGGAATTCTGGGAGTTGAAGTCCACAAGTCATAAAAGAGCCATCGTTCCTTAGCCTTGCTTAATGCCACCATTTTTCCAATGACGTATCTGTGGCTTTCCAGCAGGCAGGACTGGTTTCTTTTCCTGGCCAAACCTTCTGTTAAAGATCCTGGCTGCTAAATAGTGGGAAAACCAAGAGACTCTTTTCACATAGAAGCAGGAAGAAAAATCAGTGGATCAACCTTTTCTACAGTCTGTCGCTGCAAATGTTAAATGAATCAAACACTTTTTTTTAAAAAAAAAATGGTTCTTGTGCTGTTTAAAATGGCAGTAAAAGAGAAAATACCATATGCGGCTTTGCAAAATTTACAACTAATTTGTATAGTCGTAATTAAATAAATGTCTACACTATATTGTCCTTGTTGGCCACATTAAAGCGTTATGCATGATTCACGTGGGGAATAGGTCATTCTAAGAAGTTATTACCGAGATTCTATTTTATTATGTTTTCTGGAAATTGAAACTGCAATGGTATTTTGTATGCTTTAGAAGCAAGGGAAGGTTTTTCTACCAAAAGAAAAGTAAATTATGCCTATTAGCATACATTAATGCTCAAAAGTATCGGGATGCTTCTTGGTTATTGTTTTAATTAACACATTGCACTTAGCTGTTATCCTTTTCAGATAACAGGGTGCACTGCTACATATATAAAAAAAATAACTGGAAATCCTCCTTGCAGAGACAAACATTTGTTTTTAAAGTTTCCTATCCCACAAACAATTTGCCACCTTAAGGGCAGTTTTGAAGGCAAACTTCTTCCTGTTGTATGTTGGGCTCTGCTACATTCTCACTGGCAATTTCTATCAGCCCTTCGAGGTGGACCAGACTAAGAAACCAAAGCTATGAATCCCTTTATGTCCAGGAAAAACTTGAGAGCTTTCTCAGGTTATATTTTCACCTCCAACACAATATTTTTTATCTGAGCATTGTCTTGGTTGCATCTCTTCCTCAAGGCTCTTTCTAAAGCCCACTGCAATTTCACAGGAGAAAAAGAATGACCAGAAATAAAGTTCTGTGGTATTGTTATTATATTATCAATATTATGGTGATGAACACAACAACAAAGATATGTATTATGACTATTTAAACGTAACTGTACCCAGATCACACACTATTTGATGAAAATTGAAAGCTATATAAATAAAACAAATAAAACATGACACACACACACACACACACACACACACACACACACACACAAAGAAATAAAGTTCTGTGGAGTATGATTTGCTTAGGACAAGTTTATCCAAGAAAGCATATTTATAGGGGCAATTTCAAGCATGCCTAAGGCGATCTACGGCCCAGACATCTGGGGTTGCCCTGAGAACTACACAGTGTTAGTCAGACCCCCTGGGGCAGGACATGGGACTGTGCAGAGTTCCACCTAGAAGCTCCCGCTCTCCTTTCCTCGCCAATCCCCCCAGGACAACCCAGAAATTAGAAAAAGATCAACCAACAGGCCGAATATTATGGAAAAGAAGTACAGCTCTACAGGGAGGGAGCACAAGAAAGAGCTAAAGCAACATTTCTCAATGTTGTCGAGTAAGATGTGTGGATGGGTGGCTGGAGAATTCTGGGAGTTGCTGGCCACACATCTTAAAGTTGAGAAGTTTGGGAATCATTATTCTAAAACAGAGGTGGGGAACTATGGCCCTTTTATGACTTGTGGGCTTCAACTCCACAGCTGGAATGCTGGGTCAGGAATTCTGGGAGTTAAAGTCCACAAGTCTTAAAGTTGCCAAGGTTGGAGACCCCTGGTCTGGATTAATGTGTTCTGTGAACCTTTTGTTTTCTAAGATGTTCATGGCATTCTTGAAAATTGTCTCCCACAACAAATTTGAAAGTATGAGTACAGTCTCTATCCTGATTCTTCCATGAAGAAGAATGAGCACGAATGAGCATCCTTCTAAGTCAACGCTAAGCCTTGAAAAAAGGCTTATATACAGCAGAGTATAGACGTTCCACACATATAGATTTATAGATGGCTCTTGCATGTCTGAGCCATTATTTGACTCCACGTGAATGAGGGGCATCAGGTCTTCCGAGGGCTGGACAGCAAGCACCTTGGGAAAACAACAAAGCTTAGCTACATATGGACAACAGTGTAAAATCAAAACCAGGACCCAACGTAAAAGATCAGGTACACACTAGAGGGGTCTCCTCTCAAAACTTAGTGGGAAACACACCCTTGCAGACAAAGAGATGCACTCATAGTTATACATTTCAGAAAGGAGGGGGGAAATTATGTGTGCATGCACTTTCATAAGTAATAACATATTATAGACTTCAGGATCCTTCCTGCCCTTCTGTTATCTACGGAGAACAATGGTCTTCATTAAAAAAAACATTTGCATCTTGACATTCAGGTGTTGCTATGGGAATGTTCTGATAAAACTTACCACAGGCTGCTGTGAGCTACAAGGACACATTCCTTATGTCTCAATTTGTCTAGTAAACAGTCCCATTCATCTGAAAAATAATTTTCCCCACAATAGGGGGAAAAAAAGCTTAACCAGGACAACAACAGTACAGGTAGTCCTCGATTTATGATCACAATTGAGCCCATAATTTCTGTTGCTAAGTGAGACAGTTGTTAAATGAGTTCTGCCTCATTTTACGACCTTTCTGGCCACAGGTGTTAAGTTAGTAACATGCTTGTTAAGTGAATCTGACTTCCCCATTGACTTTGTTTGTCAGAAGGAGATCACATGACCCGAGGACTCTGCAACTGTTGTAGATATGAATCAGTTGTCAAGCATCCAAATTTTGATCCCATGACCCTGTGAAAAACGGCCATGTCACTTTTTTCAGTGCTGTGGTAACGTCAAACAATCACTAAGTGAAATGTTGTAAATCAAGGACTACCTGTACAAGTTGAGGATATATTTAAAGCCAAAATCCACCTGGAACTGATCAGTCTATTAAGCTCCCAAACAGACTCCTCAAAGCCAGCAGTCCCAAAGCCAACTTAAGCCATCATTGATTTCCCAAGGCAGGCGTCAGCGTTCGAGAAAGTCCCCAACTCCTCCTAATGACCAAGAAGCTACAACATGCATAACCAGGTAAGGAAAAAGCACAGTGCCTGCATGGGCACAAACACAAACTTAGGTAGAGTGTGTGTGTGTGTGATATGAGGGGTTGTTCTGAGTTGTTTTGGAGTTGTGTGTCTTAGCATATTGTCTGAACACAAACTGCTTGATTAGTCTATGGGCCAAGATATTGTGTGAACCTGGAAATGGGCAAAGCCAGTCAACA